TGAAGAAGGTTGGGGCCAGTTATGATCCAAAGAAGCGTAAAGCTTCCACACAAAAGGCTCCAACTGCTTCCAAGCCAACAAAGAAAAGCAAAATGTCATCCCCAAAACCTACTGTACCTTCAGTACCTAAGGGAAGAGCTACCAGGAGCAGGGTCAAACAAAGTGAAGCAGAATTACAGAATGCTCTAGAAGAGAGCAGGAAGAAAAAGAGGGAGAAGGGAAAAGCAAAGGTTGTGGAGAGTTCTGAGGTTGCAGAAGAAGAAGAAGAGGAGATGGAACTGGTCCATCAAGAAAGAGGAACAACTGAAGAGGTTCCAACACCCAAACCAAAAAGTTCCAAGACTTCTTCCAAGAAGTCTTCCTCTGTACCTGTACCTGTTGAATCTTCTTTAGCCAAAAGAACTAGGTCTATTGTGAAGGGTAAACAAAAGAAAATTGTTGAAGAAGATGAAGAGTGGAGTGGTGGAGAAGAAGAAGAATCTGAGAAAGAACAAGACAGGTTTGCCATCTTTGGCAAAAGAAATTTTTTGAAAGGAAGGCTGCTGAACGACCTGGATGAACCAGGAATGAGGAGGTTGGTAGATGCTCTTACTGCACAAGGGTGGAAGGACATGGTCCTTGAATTGGATGGCAGGCTGGCCAGGAATGAACTAATTGAGTTTATGGCAAATGCCACCGTGAAAAATGGGGTAGTCTCCAGCCTGGTGAGAGGAGTAAAAGTGGAGTTTGATGCAGTCAAACTGGGTGAGATTCTGGGCATACCTAGTGAAGGGTATGATGATTATACAAGGCAAAGGTGGCCATGTCTGGAATCTCTCCCCACTGCTCTTCAAATTACTAGAAATTTTTGTGATGTTGCAACTGCTGAAGATGTACCTGAAGCCAGGTTTGTGCAGAAAAGTGAGATGAGACCTGAGCACAAGGTCTTGTTTGAATTTGTTAACAAGTGCCTGCTGCCCAGACAGGAGAGGAGGCATACTGCCAACTACATGGACCTGGTTCTTATGAAGTGCCTTGTGAGAGGAATGCAGATAAATTGGCCTGCTTTTATTGTCAAATTACTAGACAGGGTCATTAATGGCTCCAAGGCACATGAAATCCATATGGGTTCATACTGACTACTGTGCTGGACAGGCTAAGGGTGCATTTGAAGAAATGGGAGATGTCATCAAGCAAGGAGCATTTTGGTGTTAAGACCTTATTGGCTTGTGACTATCCTGTCAATGCCATCCCTGTTGAACCTGGTTCATCTCTGAAGACACCTGTGAACAGCAAGGTTAGGGCTTTGGTTCAAGAGTGTGGAACTAAGGATGCTGAAATTGCTAGGCTTCAGGCTCGTGTTGCTGAATTTGAAGCTGAAAGAGATGGCCTTAGAGCTGAGCTAGCAAAAGAAAAGGAGAAAAGTGATGGGATGCTTCAGAATATGCTCAACCTTCTCCAAACCCAGCCCTCTAGTTCTTCCAAGCCTTAGGTCCTCCAGTTGTTGCCTTCTGAACCAGTCTACTACCCCCCAGTGACCCAGATTAGGGACTTTTTCTGTTTTTGCTCATGTTTGGAAGTTTTTTCTTTCTTTTTGTGGTTTGTAGGTGGAAACATATCTTATCAATGACAACT